CCTAAAACTGTCACATGTTTTTTACGTTTATCATTGAGACGAATCGGTACAGGATTCTTTTGGTTCAACTTTCGATTACATAACACAGTATTCCTGTGTGCTCGAAAGCTGAATATATTTTCATTTTTTCTTTGAAGAGGTTTTGTTATCGCCCTACTTTTGATGACTTTCGTTAGTGGGGGTGGATCCAAATTATTATTTCTTATATAAACGTCTACAGGTGAAGACGAAATTGAAGAGGATGGCTGGGGAATCATTCCACGTAAAACGCCTATGTTGTTGATTACGGTATCTTGGTTGGAATCCTTCCATTGGAAAGTGTACTATATACATTTGTTTACAATGTCGATTTGTCATTCAACCGTTTAATTTTTATTGATATTTAAAGGAAATAATTAAATAAAGGCTTTTTGGCATTGTGTATTTAATTACTAAAAAAAATTACCAACTGTATATTTTCAAACTTCACTTTCTACGGACATCGAACTTATAGTTGCTGACGAGAAAACCTAATGGAGTAGATTTTAAGGAAAGTCATATTCTTCAACGTTATATTAAAGAAATTAAATTGCTATCAGATTTTTAAAGTTAGATGAAGCTTTTCAACGTACATTTTTCGGCTTTTACCTGTAAATTATTTAAAACCCTACAAATGCAGGGTATCCACAGTAAATTAATATCACTTGGAATATAACAAGCGGTTAGTAGAATTCTTTAGTTACTACGAAAAGTATATCATTCATCTTAAAACTTTAAATGGCGTTTCACTTAAACTGTATTTTGTGGTATATCCCTCCTTGAAAAAATATCTCGTTTTTAAGAGTCAAATAATTTAATGAGGAAAACTAAAACCCTATTTACGCCAAATATCTATATTGTTTTAATGATGAAAGGGCTAATGGAAGCTAATGTTATAATTAATAACCTCTTATAGGTGTCATTACCAAGGTTTGATTTGATAATTTCTTTTTAAGTGACTTACACTAAGTCACGAAACGTCAGAAAATCCTATTTTCTACTCATTGGGATATTACAAATATATTATTTTTATTATTAACCTCTTAGTTTAAAAAATTGTTCGTTTCAACATCATACAGTTCTTTTGATTTTTTAAAGATTAATGACTAGGCAATTAACCTACTAACTGGAACTAAACGGAGAAATCTTTGAAGTTAATGTCACAACATTGATAGAAATCGGTTAGAAAATCTGCATAGTGTGAGCTTGAAAATATACGGTAAGTACATACCAAGACTTTAAAGTGTTTAATTTCAGCAGAAATGAATGACATCTTTTGACGTCAGCTCAAAATATATAAAACAATAGTATCAACTAGAAAACAGTATGTTTGGTTTTGGTAATTATCAATTATTTTTTTATTCTAGTAAATTATGCTTAAATAAACATTTACATCAAACCTAGGATTATTTTAAGCAAATGGAAATTAATTATTTCAGTGATTGCAATAAAGTCAAGTATATTAAATCAGTTAGTAAATCTCATGCCATTTCATATTATTCTAATTTATCATATATGTAGACCATCAATTAGTTTTAATCTTTTTTTTCTGATCCGTGATTAAATAATTTAATCGTCACTCTACATGAGGACAACAAACATTGAACAGTTAAAAATGTTTTGTCTCGGAAGACACTTTAGATTAATTATAAATAATATTTTGATAAAACCGCGTAAACTATTTAAAACCTTTAGATACATTATTAAGTGATCAGTTTGTGATAAATTCTATGAACCACTATACACCTCATATGACATCATCAGTCGTGGGTTACTGAATTCCGTTTTTACACTGCAATAAATAAAACCTATAAATGGCTAGAAACAGGATTTATTAAAACAGAATCCACTACGGTTTTCGTTGATCAACGGTGAATGTTTAAAATAAAATTTGACAGGTACCAGAGAAGTGCTCTGGTTTGTAATTACTAATATTTTGATTTGCACGTTTATAAAAAATAAGGTTTCGTAAAGAAAAGACTCTAAATCAAGATATATATAATAATGGATTGGTGTTTAAATTTTAGTTAACAGAAATAAACATGATGGATCTCATCCTTCATATAAGAGCTGAATGCTAAACTTAAAGAAAATAAACTGCATATTAACTATTTCTAAACTTTTCGTATAACCAATAACAAAATGAAAAAGGTTCTATGGTAGTATTATCAGAATCATATTCGCAAGTATCTAATACTTAAGTTTAATCACAACAAACCTATATTACATATCATTGCAGTTTATTTCGAGAAACGTTAAATGTTGCCTGCTCTTTGGAACGTTGAAGCCATAGTTGCTTTATAGGAATGTATGTGACTAAGTTCACTATCAAAGGATTCCCAGCAAAATCTCTCATAGATACCTCCCATCACTCAGAATCTCATAAAACAGAATAACAAGTCTACTCGATAGGTATTTATGGCTTCAAGGTGTTTCGTGGATTATTACATCCTGACTTCAAATATCTACGCAAAACCCACTCGTGATTAGGACGTTTTGTTGAAACCTACGGAAATTGTGAAAATAAAGAAATTTAATAACGATCTTCTGGTGGATTACTGTATAGTTCAATTGATAGAGACATGTCACGTATACTTCCGAAACATAGCTAACTAATCACTGAGAATTTACCAGATCTTGCTTTCAAGCTTCTATATATTGAATTAAACCTCTTTAACTAACGAATATCATTTTGGAATCGATTTCATTTAAGTCTAATCGAACCTTCTTTTAATTATTTAATTTGCTATACTTACAATAAGAACGTGGTATACAGTTTTTGTCTAAGATAGCCACAAATAAGTTGCGACGTACTAAATATATATATATATATATATATATATATATATATATATATCAGTTTAGTAATCCACTGACGAATACTTAATTTTTTACGGGCAAAAATATTTAAAAGATTTACATTCTTAATTTATCGAGATCACAATATTTATATTTACCGAAATTGAAAATACACAAGAAAATATAACCACGTTAGCCTTTCCATGACAATACTCCTAGTTGTATCTGTGCTTCACGAAAACATTAAATCTCAAGGCCAGGATATTGCTGTACGCATAGGTGAATCAATATAAAAATAGGTTTAAAAATCACTTGGGATTTTCGAAAGAATTTTACCAACTAGCAACGCAAAGGCAATCCATACTTTTGCAAACTACATATATTATTTAGGGGCATTGAGAGTACAATAATTTGGTAGTTGTTGAAGCTTTTTCCTTGAGTTTCATTACAGAAAACAAGTTTCACATATTTGATAATTCAGCAATAATGACAACTTTACTGCCTATTTCATATATAAGTATTTTATCAAATAAAAGATCTATATCTCCAGCAAACCACATATTTTTCAGGGGTGAGATGATAGATAAAACGATGTTATAACTATTCAGCTCTGATATGGCGAGTTGAAAAATCAGTCAACAGTGTCATTATTTCGCGATTTTAAAAGAATTCGTAATTTGAAGATCTAATTGTATTGATCTAATTCCAATACCAACAAGTATTTGGTTTTTAATTCACATCAGTTACAAGTTGATATACATTAAAAAGCTTAGCTTGGATTTAAAGGCGCAATTTTATATTTAAAACAAGGCAAACAGTAGATAGAAACGTCGTTACATTTTTTAATTATTATAATCAATGGATATTATCCTAACCACATTGCTTAGCATAGACAATTATGGACAATGGTCACTGCCAACAGACATCATGATAGTATCTTAATAAAAAGTCTGAACTTCTAAAAAAGAAAGTTTTTTTGAATTGCACATAATAGCTAAGTACCAAAATCTTCTCATAATGTTTGGTGTCGGAAACTTAGGAACAGAAATATTTTGAGAAGTGATAAAATAAGGAAATGAAAACTGAGGAAAGTCACAAAATAAATTTATTTACTCAAGTAACTCGCCAGCATTCAGATCTAAACTCACATTGTCAATGCAAACATTTTGAGGCACATTTAGTTTATCAAAACACTCCGAAGTATTCTACCACTTTTAAAATGAGCTTAGTATTACCAAACCACCGAGTAAACGAGTCTCATTTTGCCTTATAAATATGGCGAAATTAAAAGCTTCAGTTCATTTATACACTAGTGATCTTTATCAGTAAAATTAAATGCAGAGTGCTACGCATAATATTACATTGACGGGTAGCTAACATAATATGTTCTTGATCTAAAACTATGATAACTGGGTACTAAAATGACGGATTACTTACAAACATATACACAAAGTACCATGCATAACCTAACAAGTAAAAAGTAAGTAAGCCAATTACTACTACTGAGTTATTTTGGGTATATCGATAGGCACTTTTTTTCAAGTAACTTGGGCGTTAATAAGACCCCCAAAAAAAAACAGTCTTCGAAAAGTCGAATATCAGAACTTCAAAGTGATCTAGCGAGTTCCAAACGTGTTGAAAACGGTCTTCATCATTAGCGAAATCCGATCACTCTACAGTTTGGACTAAACAAGTTTTAAAACAAAAGCGGAATGAGAACCGAAAAAAAACCACCTCTGACTTTAAAATGCACGAGATAAATATAACTTGTCCAGAAATGTTTATTTTCAAGTGTGTAGCTTTTGAGCGTTTTTCAAGTTCGTCGTCATTTAGATATAAAGAGAAAAGTTTGTATTTAAAATAAACTTATAACATTCTAAACATGTTCGTAATATAGCCGTAAGTTTGGTTCCAATATCCCAACTTTTGCTACTTTCATCTAATCAAGACGTTATGTTTTCAAACATAGAGTCATAATTTTCTCATTTCAGCACATTTTCTCTTTTTTTAATGAGAATTCCATTAAATCCCATTTGAATGACATTTTAGAACATCAGACTTTCTTACAAGGCTTTTCTGCGTAAAATATTTCATCATATACCCATAGATTTATATATACCACGACTAACTCTTGCAAGTTACAAAATATAATGGTATATTTGGACCAAAAAAAGCCAACTTACGTTGCATGGATCTCCTGGGCGCTTTTCTGTTGCCGGACAAACAAGTTGACTGTTATTTCCATTTTTAATGATATTTTCAGATATATCATTTGATATTTTACTTGGCTTTAGGCTCTGAGAATCTTCAGTTCCAGAAAACAACTTAAGATGCTTTTCAACTGCTCGAAATGCTGCTTGAAAGCTCTCGGACTGTCTTTCATTCTTGGGCTGAGAAACAGAAGAAATAGTTTCAACGTTACTGTAATTCTCTAAACCGTTAGCTGTAGACTTATTATCTAAACCACTTGCTTCTGAGGTCTTCACAAGGTTACTATCATTTGCACAATTGTCTTCGTTATTTTCCTTTTCTTCTCTGCATTGCATAGCCTTTTCTCTGGCAAAGCTATGTATTCTGGACAATTTTCTCTGTGTATTTGTTTGCTTTCCAGAGAATAATTGCTCCATTTCACCCATAACACTGTCCAAAATAGTATAGTTTATCTGTCGCTTATGGTAAGGTAAATTACTCATTTTTTCATTTGCCTTATGATGTGAATTATTTTCGCCCAGAAAGGTTTTCTCTGCGTCCTCTGTATGAATTTGGCCAACTACTATGTTCTTGGATGTCTCACCAAGTTCGTTTGTTGATACATTAGGAAAGTTCATATCAGCAGTCGCGGATTTAATTGCTTCCCTATTGTCTGTGGGCAAGGTATTCACTTTCTTGGAAGTGATGTTCCCAGGCAATTCCGAATCTTTGATGTACAAATTTGTTTCAGCGGGCAAGTTAAGTTTACTTTTATTCATGAGTGAATTACGTTTTGCAGTACACACTGTGCTCCTACGTGGCACTGCTCTAACTGCAGTAAATATATCTGTGTCGTCCTTATCATTCAAATCTTGATGTGGTTTCTCAGGTTTTACGAGAGACAACGAACTGTCTTCTGTTCCAGAGTAGCTACTATTTTCACTTTGGAGACGATTTCTTCTTACTTGTGAAAAGTTTCTTTCAGAGTGAATATTGTGAAAAGATTGCAAAGTAGAGGATAGAGATGATGACGTTACGGACTTAGATATAGGTTTGGTGGTTTTTGGATCATTTACGATTACCGATCGAGTTGTATGATAAGGGTCTCCATTAAGATGTGAAGAACAGGGACAAACTGAATTGCTGCGAACAGGTTCCGTGACAGCTTGCGTTGTATCACCTGCGGTGCTTTTTTTACGATCTATATATTCTGAAGGTCTATTAGACTTATTAAACTTTGAAGAAACTTTGTTCTTATCACCTTTATCATCCTTCCCCCACGAATCGGAGGCTGAATTGATGTTTGATGGATTCTTAGATTTTATTGTTGTATGGTTAGGATAACTGTCACTGAGTCTTGCGAACGGGTCAGCAATTGTATGGTTTCTTGTGTTTATCCTAATAGTCGTATTTCTGTGACCTGGATTTTCAGAATATGCCTGGTTATTGAACCGAGTATACCCACCTTGTAAGCTTCTGTTTTTTGTCTTTTCACTGGGAGGATTTTCTGATTTTTGAGAAAAAGAATGTTCATCAGCACTATATACGTATTGACTTGATCGCTTGCTGCCTTCGTACCCTCTAGGTATCATAAAATTAACAAGAGAATCCTTGCTTAACTCACTTTTTGATGGCTTGGGTAATATCGCTGGTTGTTTAAAATCCGTTCGTGTGCTGTTTTTTGTAGATGAGGATGCTTCTGATTCTTTTGGTTTATTTTGATTTTCATTGGAATTCAGTAAGTTGTGGTTTATAGGAAAACTTTCACCTCGTTCAACGCTTGATATGTTAGATGGTACATTGTTGTATCTGCTTTTATTCTCAACTCCATGTCCTGTTATTGCAGTTTGTGTTCTGTATTCATTAGGGTGAACTGGTGCAGTACATTTGCCACTCTCTCCCACGCTAACCTGAGACGTAAAACTCTCCCTACTTGACTTCAAAGTGTCTAAAAGTCTTTCAGCTCGAGGTCGTCCATTTACTTTATAAACTGTTAAACTAGCGGGAGTAGGCATGTCAGAAACTCTACCAGTAGATTGGATTCTCCTATTAGGATAAGTATTGTGTCTCTGAATTCCATTGTCGTTGTGTAGAAGGTTTTGATATGCGCACGTAAGGCGGGCTGTAGCTGAATGGTGCTTAACTCCAGAATGTATATTTCTAGACAGTTCGTTCATTGAGATTTCACTTTGAAATTTCTCTCTGACTTGTTTGACTAGTCCAGGTGTAATCCCGTATGGTGTAAATAGTTCGCATGAAGATGTGGTATTCTGTGAGTCTGAAGGTTTGTGCATTATTCAGCAGGAAGTAGTCAATAAAACTTTCGAATTTCTTACTGTTTTTTAGGATTAAATAGGAGAATATCCAGAGTGTCCAGCAACGCACTTCATAAGTTTACAATAACATTCGTCGAAATTTGACGACTAAACAATCAAAAATCGTCAAAGAACTATATTGACAAAATTATATTCAATGATAATCAATGTATGTCATACTGGACCTGGTCACAGCGATAAAGTATCATAACTGCAAAACAAGCGCTTTTTCATAAGAAGAGTTCAAAGTTAATTGACGCATTAATACAAAACCATACGAAAAACGGCTTCAAAACTATTATACATAATATTCATGGTAAATATTCACTGTATAGAATGAAACTTGATCAAGACACCAAAGAAAAGCAATCCCATAGAGTGTGATAACTACAGAGGCATCACCCTCCTTTCAATACCATGAAGTCTTCAACAGTGTGTTGTCAAACAGAATTAAGGACTTCGTAGACGCCCAACCTCAAAGTTGACAGGCTGAATTGTGTAAGGATCGATCATGTACAGGCCAAATAGCAACACTACGGGTCATTGTGGAACAATCTATTGAATGGGATTCATCACCACATTAACTTCATTGACTACGAAAAAGCATTTGACAGCGTGGACAGAACAACACTATGGAAGCTTCTTCGATACTACGGCGTGCCTCAGAAGATAGTCAATAACATACAGAATTCATATGATGGATTACACTGCAAAATCGTGCATGGAGGACAGTTGACAAAGTCGTTCGAGGTAAAGACCGGTGTCAGGTAAGGTTGCTTACTCTCACACCTCCTCTTTCTCCTGGTGATCGACTGGATCATGAAGACGTTAACATCTGAAGAGAAACACGGGATACAATGGACATCTAGGATGCAGTTGGACGATCTAGACTTCACAGATGATCTGGCCCTCCTATTGCAATCGCAACAACAAATATAGGAAAAACCGACCAGTGTAGCAACAGCCTCAGCAACAGTAGGTCCCAATATACACAAAGAGAAAAGCAAAATTGTCCGATACAACACAACATGCACTAATTCAATCAAAATTGACTAAGAAGATTTGGAAAACGTAAAATCCTTTACATATCTGGACAGTTTCATTGATGAACACGGTGAATCCGATAAAGACGTGAAGGCGCAGATCTGAAAAGTGATAATCATTTGATTATTCTTAATGCAATTAAAATTTCGGAAACTGCAGATAGGATGTTGCACTTACAAGTAATTTATGTCATTCTATACACCTATATTTATACACCTATATATATTTGGCCTGATAACTTCATCTTTCTATAACAATCGGTATGGCAACTTAAACTGATGTATATACGTACAGGTTCTACGTTGTGATTGACTGACTGACTGTTATTTGTTAACTGATACTAGATGTTGAAGTCATAGCTCAGAAGCATTGTCGCCCAATGCAGTAATCTGCTAGTCTTATAGATAAGATTTTCTTTCTTAAAGACAAAAATTGAAACCAAATTTTTGTTGTATGTCAGTACAGTAAACTTACAGCTGTAGAGCATTTTACGCGATGCTGTCCTTGACATCAACGTGAGAAAAACACTTACAAATACATGACAAGATACACGATATTTTCACATGAAAAATAATAATACGCCCATTAAATGGATTTCAGACAGCTCATAACTTCCGATCAAACTAAAGTTAATCCAATATATGCAACCTCAAAGTAATATATGCAAAATCCAACCAGTCATGATCAAATGTACAAAATCTAATAGCATACTTGGACATTGTTGAATGTTCATGAATTTCGTGATACCTATACTTGGACATTGTAGGCGAAAGAATGTAGGTATAATTCAGGATTTTAGAATCACATTAGATTCAACATTTATTTATTCAAATATTATTATTATTATTACTTGTATTCTCAAGAATGTCTTATTCCAAATTCTACACTCACCACCAAAACGTTCTTGAAACTACCTCTGCGGTGATGTACATTATGTTAGTCCATATTGTTTTAATTTGGTAGAGCCTGTATGATTTGAAGATGCCACAAATATTCGTAGTTTAACAACACTTCTCACCAGTAACACCTTCTGTATTCGAAACATGCCAACTCAGGAAAAGTGTAAGTCAGAAGCGAAGAGGTTTGAAGATATATTTGATAAGCCATTGATATACTAAGAAATGATCAATCTGACCTCAGTAACGGTTGTAGGAAATGTGATACACGGCGTACCGACCCGTGACCTGGAGAGGATGCGTTACCGGGCCCCAATAGCTAGGCGAATCTATTAAAACTAATGAAGTCAGAATCAAATGTCGAAGACCTACAGAGCTATTGATTTTGAAGATTTTCATACCACTACAGGTCACTATTCCTTAGTGGAGCAGTGGTGACCCTAAGGCGTGACCCGTCAGAATCTTAAACCCAACGATTTAGTCGTTGGTAAGCAATCTTTCCGATAGCTTGCCATATTCAGCAGCGTCTGGTCGTAGTTCCTTACCATTAGAGGACATATGGTGCACTATAGTAATGAAGATACAATGAAAACTTCGGTTCACTGTAAACCTAGTCGTCGTTTTAGAATTTTTTTTCAGCCGTCTTGAGAAAGAAAAAAAGATATGTAAGTGCATGTCGAATCACAGTCGTACGTGCGTAAAGACACAAAGCGGGAGAAACGAAGGAGAGTAAACTAATGCACATGTGTTAGCGTAAAAGCGATTTTTACAGAATGTTTTGTTTAAATTTTACATATATACATATTGGCGAGCATACTCACAGACAAAAAATTTGTTTTTTGAGTTTGATTTTAGATACTTCCAAAGTACCATCGTGAGTTTCGGCTATTGGCCGAGGTATCGTAAATGTACGACTTGTGTCTTAAATTGTACTGAAGTAAAATCGATATCAATAGGGTTTCCTTCTAAATACGCTGCTTTGATGCGATCGATGCTGATTCTGTCGTTAGTTAAGTTCGTATCGATGACATAGTACTTAGATTCACACTGAAGAACCTTGAAGGGTTCTTCATATGCTGCTTCGAGAGGTCGTCTAAATGAGTCGCGATATGCAAAGACGTGTGTACTATGTCATAAAGCAGGTTGAACGGAAACATCTGTTGCTTGCAGTCAAACGAAAATAAGTTTAACTGAAATCATTGTGTCTGCAAGCTTGCCCATGTAAAAGTTCAGATCCATAATTACTGAAGTAGATGAAAGATCCATGGATTCTCCTAGACTTCGAAGTATCGTGCCTTAAACAAGTTTAACTGCAGTGACCAAAATGTCAGCTTTTAATGTATTGCGAATGCTGAGTAAAACGAGTGGAAGAGCCTCGGCCTATCGTGGGACGTTTGCAGCTGAGAGTGAAGCTTTAAGCTATCAGTGAAATCATTCTACCAACCCATTTGTTTGTAGGTGGTATGTGGTCGTTCGGAATCGTACGGTTCCCTATAGTGTAGTCAGACCACGGAAAAGTCCGGAATGGATCCGGTGTTCACGGTCTGTAGTGACAGCTGAAGGGCAGAAAAAGTTTGCTAACCATCTTTCGACGAAGGCATGAGCCACTGTGTCAGCAGCAATGACCTTGATTCGTACTACTTCTGGCCATCGAGTGAAACGGTCTGTACAAGTTAAGAGGTATGAGTATCCATTTAAATCTGATGAAAATCCTACCGAATACAGATTGACATGGTCGAAAAGAGCATCACGAGCTTTGAAAAATCCCAAGAGACCTTTACTGTGTCTAATTACTTTGGATTTCTGGTAGCTTACACATGGGCGTGCCCACTCCCTCAGATCTTTATTCATAACAGGCCAGCAAAGTCGTTCTGCTATGAGCTTCATGGTTGCATGAACACATGGGCGAGAATACTTATTAAATGTAATAAAGACGTTGCGTCGAAAACGTTCTGTTATGATTGGACGATCCTTACTTGTATATGTGTCCCAATGTAAAGTTTCCTTACACTTTCCTATATGTTTAACACACAGTTTCAGGGTTGTCAAAGATAACTCGTGCTGAAGATCGGTGTCTTCTCATTGAAGCTGAATGAGTTTAAGAAGGTCGATTTACTTTAAATTCTTCAAAGAAGTTATTTGAAAAAAGCATCTACAACTAAATCGTTCACCTCAGAAATGTGTCGTATATCTGAAGTAAACTACCCAATTTTGTCCAGCCGTCTAGACCCTCAAGGTGAGTACTTGTCCGAAGATGAGCTCAAAGCAAAGGTAAGAAGTGAAAAGAGTGAATTTCGTAGAGGTCAAAAGGAGTGGTGATAACGGTTTTAGAAATGCCGTCAGTAGGCATTGGAATTTGATGATACACTTCAACCATGTCGATTTTCGAAGAAAACAATTGTACCTTCAAGGCAGCTTTCAAATCATGAATGTGAGGCAACAGGTAACGATCACGAGTGGTTTTCGCACTTAGTCGTCGATAGTCACCAGTTTGGCGTCAAGCGTTGCTACCCTTTAAATGTACCATATGCAAAGGAGATGCCCATGGGCTGTTTCCCTACTGAATGACTCCTAAGTCTATCATATAGTCGAATTCAATTTCAGCGAGCCTTAGCTTTTAGTGAGATAGTCAGGGCGCTTTTGAGAATACAGATGGTCCTGTAGCCGTGATGTGATGTGTTAAATTGCCGGTTACACGTGGCGATTTCGGTCGCGTTTGGTATATATCAGAGTATTTATCGAGTATTTGTTGATAGTATGGATCGACCGTGTGCCTACTGTTTATTGGGGACAATCTACAACCGGAAAAAGAAGTTACACAAACCGATATTTTAGTATTCCCCTCTACTTACCTCCGTTTGCGCGTGTCGAGTAGAGTATGGTGTTTTAGCTGGTCTATACCGATGATTGGCATCTATTCATCTGCAATAACGTAAATCCAGTGTATGGGTTCGCGTAAATCCACATTGAGGTATACATATCGCTTACCATACGCGGAGTTCGATTTCCCATTTTCCGCTAGTGAGTCAAAAACTGCTACGTGCAGTCGGTTGTTAGAATTAGCAGGAAGAACACTAGATGCGATGGTGTCGACGAGGTGGCAAAATTACTTAATCATACCAGTGGTGTACAACAGACGACTATGTTGGCCGGCTATGGTTACCGTTAAAGCGTGCCGTTCTGGAGGTTTCCCGAAATGCTTTTCGTGTTGGTTGAGAGCCCAGAAAATCGCAAGGTTTTCAGTAATTTTGAGAAGACTTTCCGTACTAAATATAATACCAGCATCAATCAGGATAATTTGTACCTCGAGATCTAGAGGTGGATCGTTTTGTGAAGTACTATGGGGAGTTTGGGAGCGTCTACGATCATGACGAATACTAAGGCTTTCGTTTCGTTTTACTCAAAACAAACAAATTTTATGCCTCTTGAGTGTATTTTTACTTCACTGGGCTGAAATGAATAAAGACTTGAAGGACTGGGTATTCGGCTGGGACTGGTAAGCACAGAATCCAATGGATACATTTGATTGCTAATTAACACCTATAGACATGATCATACTATGCTGTGAAGCTTTATCTTTTAAAAATATAACTGCCGAACCTGTTTCACAATCTATTTTAGTTGAGCAGTGGATTACAAATCATGATTCCTTGTAAACGTTTTCGACTGACTGAGTTTAGACATAACTGTTCCAATCACATTCCCAGTCAAGTCATATTTTTTGATCAAACCGTTTTATGTTATCATATACACATCTTTGGGGGTTGTGATTCGATGGCACATCCATCAACAAATTGACGGAAACAGTTTTTTTTAAAAACCAAAAAAACCGCCGGAGGTAACAGATCCCTAGAACATCTCTTAAAAAGACAACCGATTACGTTCATCTTTAAACAATTTAATTAAGTCCGAATAATAAGTAGTACAGAAATATTCCCATGACTTTTCAAAACGTATTCCAGCAGATAAAAACTGACGACCACACAAATAAGTTATTGTACTGTGACCAGAATGAAGCGCGTAGTTAGACACTGAGCACTTATCATTTCATATAAACGCCATATAATTATACAGTATTGCTACTCGATGCATTAAACAACGTTAGAATAAGATCATTCTTTAATATTGAAAGTGATTGGTTGGAAATGTTTTGATGTCAAATTATAAGAGTGATGCAACTCGGAAACTGGACGTTGAGGAAATTGCATTATAGAATGATACTGACTATAAAATTAAAAAACCAAAATGTTGGTTTACTGACACATCAATTTTTTACATAGAATAGTTTAGTTAAGTAGGAGTTACAAATGTAAATTTAAGTAAATTTATAATAATGTAGGTGATTTTAAATTCAAGTAACAGAGAGAAACAAAGAAGCAACAAAATGTAGCTGGAAAAAAAATGAAATCTGTAATAAAATAATTGCATATTCGAGATACCGCGAACAGTAGAAATTTGGACTGTTGACATTTCTGATTAAATGTAAGCCACTTTGTCAAAGCAAATAAATTAGTTTACAAATTATTTTATGTCAACTCATTATGTGGCAGCCATTTCATTAAATGAATCAGTGAGCTAACGATGAGAAATAATTATTCATTTGACTGACAAGTAATTGAGAATTATGAAGAAACCGTTTTTAAACCTCATCAGAATTTTGATTTTAAATGCAGAATTAACTCACGAAAATATTTAGCACTTTATGTGCAGATTATAAAGAATTTATTAAAATAACGGGAAGACGAAAGATTAGGTGATCAATATAGCATACAGTGCGTGTATTCTTGTTTCGAAACGAGAAACATACTTCTTACTAATGCTACCTAAAGTTTACGATAAAACACAAATAAATTATTCATTTAACAACAAGTAGAGATAAAAATATCTGAAGAATTCTACAGGCGGCATGTGATTTGAAGATGCTAAGTGAAAATCAATGTACTACAAACATTATCGACAACTCAAAAAACGTGTATTGAATTCAATACAATTAACATAAGTTAATTTACAATCAGAGCAAAAAAGAATAATAAGTTTAAGGGAAAGATTTCGAATATAGTTAGAAATCAGCAACAGCATACAGAAGTCTAAAATAAAGATATTAGAGACCATCGGGATGAAGAAAATTGGAAAGATTTAGATAACTTTTCTGTGCTTAATTAACAATCACACAAGTGGAAAATGTAAAATAACGTTGAAAAATTATCTCATGCTTTCTAAAGCTGTTTAATCTATGAATTTAATTACTCTAGAATATCAGTAATAAATATTTAAATATTTGATTAAATGATTTTGCTTAAAAAGATTATGTCTCGTAACAGCGAAATTCAGTATTCTTATTCAGATATCAAGAATACAAAAAATACAACTTGACTGTTCAAATAAAAAGGATTGCAAATAAACTGTAAATTAACATCGACTGAGGTATTTGGAACTTATATTACTTTTCACTATCTTCTGCTTACATCTATAATCAATGTTGGATGTGATAAGATCATATTGGGAGAATGCTAGGGCGAAAGTATCAAGACGTATTATCTGTTCCATATTTCTTTGTCTGATAGTCATGACTATAATGATAGCTGCAGATTGCACGACTGAGGCCAATGTGATGACATAAATCAAAATCAGTTTTAGGAGCCAAAAACAACTCACCTTTATTCTCAACTCAAACTTTGATTTGAAAAAGTTTTTCATTCATTCCTTCTTTCAATTACTTCATTTTAAGTCATATCCTTCATAGTACGACTAAAACTACTCTGATTTTGGTGTTTTTTCTATTCAGCAGTTGAATAACTTACTGTTATCGTTGTTATCGTGTTTGGTTTAACATGAATTTACGCTTGCTGCTTTATTTAGGCAGCAAATCCCGACCTAAGGCCTTGTGGCGCTGTTGGGTGGTAGACATAACCTTGCTAGCCAACTTGGGCAGCCAACAGAGATCGGACTAACCCACCACTCTGCTTTAAACTGAATTCCTCTGATTTTAACTCGGGGCTCACTAAGTCTTGCGGGATGCCATATATATATGCTTATGTTTATGAATTGTATTAGTCCCGGCTTATGTAGTTTGTGCACGTAGGTCTATGCAAATGGTATGCTCGTGGGTAAGCACAAGGTAACACAAGCTGAACAAATGGCTGTTCTAAATCTAATAAAATCAGCGGTCTAATCTTGCAGGTCAAAAGCATAGTAATAGAACATATAGCAGCAAATATTGAGGAGAGATTACTACCAACCTCTCCTGAAATAGTGCTTATGCGTTTGTGTATGTCATGAAATGCAGGGGAGAAACCCCTTGTACAAGTGATATTGATACAATATGTAAGTGACAGACAGTGGTAGAAAATACGTTTGAAAGAGAACGGCGGTCACCTATTGTCACGGATGGATGAATATGTCTACACATATACTACGGGAAGCATAAGTGAAATCTTATGTGTTACAGCGATGTATTTAGATTATATTTGCCCAGGGTAAGCATTCTTTACTCATCCTATCGTGCGACGCCCAGAGGTAACGTTTACCCCGCGCAATCATATCCACGCAGTGAGTTTGTGGACCTTCAAAACACGAAATCCACTTTCAGAAAATCCATAGTAACCTTACTAGATTATGATTGACCAACTTCAAAGGTCCGGAACACTACCACCGACTGTAATTAAGTAACTAAATGATAAATTAAATGCAAACTTTCTGTTTATGGTTTAGTGAGAAGGAGGTTTTTTTCAACAGTCTATAAACAAATACAAAATGGGTTCTCTTTGCTCAGATTTAAACGACTACTAAGTATCACTATCTTTAGTAAGTTAAAGTGTCTCAGAACTAACCACATGCATTTATAATTAGTCGATAAGTGGGCTAAACCTTAATATTATACTAAACTTAGTAAAATCACGTCTACATCTGCTGACAACAAAACATTTTCCAACTTGTCAATCATCATTTAAAAACAATAATAAATTGATGGAGTATTCATTATCAAGCAAATTACATGTGAGATCTTATAATTATAAGTAATTAGATTGTATAGTTTACGTTTATTTCTAGTAAAAATTCAAAATAATCAGATTTTTCAAATCTATGACTCTATATGCTTACAAATTTGATTATTAATCCTATGATTTAATTTAAATAAAGTGTTAACTACATGATTGAAAAGAATATGAGATCAAACGGTAACCCATTGTGGTGTTTGTATAAAATAATGTTTCTTTTGACGAGTGCTCGATTTTGAATTCCAAATACAATATGTTCGTTCGTGCTCATCTAGTTCTTCTTGGTTTAAATTGCTTTATTTCTTGGATTTTTAGTTCGCACAATAATTCAAATACTTCTAATCATCACGTCTACACATTACCACATAGCATCAATATCTACTTCATTTTACTATTTTTCACTCAACATTTATTGATTTCTTATTCTAAAATAATATTACTACAAGTTTAAATAATACTGAGAACATGTGAAGTGTTAATTTGTTCATTTTACCAATTGTTATACAGCATAAACTTCAAGTAGAAATGAAGTTTGTGCTGATGATGTGGTTCAGAAAAACGATCAAATTTCCACAACCAAACCATCGAGATCAGAGAACAAAACTCCATCAAAATCATCCACATAAGTTGCAAACCTTCTACACCATCTCAATTGCTACACAATTTGATTATAAAATAAGTAAATTCTTTTCATTTTTTTCATCATTCGATGATTTCTATACAACTGTATGAAAATACTTGACGATACATAAATTAACATTTAAAAACAGAACAACTGTGATAATCAAGAGTATTTGAATTATAGTATGAACTAAAAATTCCAGAAATAACGCAATTGAATCAAGAAGTTACAGACAAGCACAAACGAATATACTGTATTTAGAATTTGAAATCAAGCATTCAACAAGTATAGAGGAATCATTAGTTCAGTCAAACACCATAACAATATAAGTGAATTTCAAAATTTCCTTACAATAGTAAATTTGTATACTTTATTATAGGGGTCTAAATTAGCCAGAAGAAAGTGAAAATATAAATTAGGGGGGTTTAAATGAATTTTTAAGTAATTAAAACTCACATTGAAAAATGTTATATAATGTCATACAAACATTAATATATTTAGTCAATCATGAATAAGTAATCTCTTTAAAAATCGAATAAAACGATCATCTTGTACAATATCTTCATGTGAACTTCGTTCCAGTACAACTACATTAACATAATTCCATTTATTACAAACAGATAAACTTTTTAACGGTACAACACCATCACCATCACCATATTTTAATTTTGGTATCTGATTGGGGAAGGCAGAACGATGTGGTCCTGGAATATTGAAAATCATCTGTAATATTGTTGGAATATTAAAACTATAAACACAGTAAACTTCAATATCAGTAGGCCTTTCAGATGGATTAAATACACTTTTCGTTTCTTTCATCATCAAATAACCTAAATCATCAATTAATTGAACAAATAAATATAAAAATCGAAATAGAATCAATTCGTTTAACGAAACTGTCATAAACGTCTCACAAAACATAATACACTTTTAGTTATACATTGAAAATAACTAGAAAACTATTGAAGTTGATTGGGTACCGGATGACTTTTAGTTGATGACTAAATAGAAATGCGTACTCGCCGCCTAGTCAAAAGTTGAAACCAGGATGATGGAGCTACAAACCAAGTAAATGGTCGTGAAGCTTTCATCGTTGATGTAAATGATATAATGAGCAAAACTATAGGTAGAAGTGAAGTCTACATGAAGTTTGTGCTGATGACATCGTTCAGATCAACGATGAAAGCTTCACGACTAAACCATTCAGCTCAGAGAGCAAAACCAACCAAAATCATTCACCTTAACCACGAATCCATTCCACCATCTCAATATCAAATATTTATTTACTTGCCTTGAGGAAATGAAATATCATTAAAAAATGCTTTCATATCATGTGCTGAATAATTTTTTTTCGGAGTTACAACCAACATCTCACTTGCTGACCATACACGTGGATCTGGTAGAAGAAATGTCATTGCGGGAAATGATCTTTCAATGTCACGAAATGCTAATGGAGAACGAAATGGAATTCCGAAGTTATGACCTGAAAATAGAGTAAAGAATATTCGAAGAGTTCATTATCGTTATTCTATCAATTTCTTTTATTCTATTTCATTTACTGACTTCAGGATTTAATTATTATTTATAAATCGGATGATTATATAATAAATTTATTCTTATTCCGATGATGATCATGTATAATTTCAAACGATGTATATTCAATTACATTACTGATCGACTAAAATATTTTAACGACGTGGAATGCATTTTTATAAACAGTCTACAAATTTGGATAATTACCTTGCATAAAAAACTGTCGTGTTTTTTAATCTTTACCCTTTACTCAGAGATAAATGTGTTCATTCCCAAATTTTATCATGTCAAAATAAATAAATAATAATGATAATGTGGGGACGGCTTTAGGAGTGATTAATAAATAATTCAAATGTGTAACTGTACTAAAACTATCAAACAACATTAGCTCTCTTCCAGCTGTCATATCTGTAAAACTGATAATACGAACCTGATTGAATAAATTTCTTACATACAGGCTGCACTAAGCTTTGCCAATTTCTTTAATAACTCAGAAAATAGTTTTATTGTAGATATTTCTTTCCTCATCGTCGACTACTTCAGTCATATTCAGGATTTATCAATTTGAATAAATTAAAATATTTACTCGGTAAACCAATTTGTCATAAAAAATGTAACAACCTGACACAAATATATACTGATTACAGTTATTACGCTGTATCAGTACGATAAGATGGATACTGGACCATTATAACTATCACTGATAGTAAGAAAAGACTAAACATTAAGAATATAATTCGAAACGAAGAAAGGAATTTACAATACAGAAAGTATGTACCCGTAATCTACGCGTAGTCATAGACTTAACCTTTCTACGACAACACTGACGATTTTGTTCCGTTTTGCCCAATGTCTTCAACCAAAGGTTATGTTAATCGTGAGGGTGCATACCAAAACGTCCTGATAAGACAGTGTGACTTAAGTTGACTAGACAATCATAAGCTAGATGAAACAGAAATTGATCTGTCAGTATTACATTTTTGAAACCTCTAAGACGTATAATAGTTCATATATACTTTTGTAGTTTCAAACCAAAGACTGACTTTGGCTATACAACTGTTAAAAACTCCAAAGTGTTGAGCAGCTGTTTCGCTACAGTATGATAGAACTTAAACCTTAAACTGCTGGGTTACAATCTAATGGCTTACACTTCTAATCTCATCTGTCCAACGTCTCCTACTTTCCAGTATTCGTCAAGATAAGTTTAATTTGTGACGTAAAACATCACATTTAACAATATACACTGGCCTCTTTACTTATCATGTTGTTGTCTCTAGTGAAACACTAGAACAATACAATAAAGATTTAAGTTCTAGGCATGGTTCTTGTAATTTTTGACTCACCACAGGTTTCCGCATATAAACTTTCAACAGATCCACCAAAAGGAGCTGACACAGATATAAATCCCTTGATATATTTATGTTTCCATCTTTTATCTTGCAGCTTTAAAAAATACATTGAGTACAATGATCCTAAACTGTGGCCTAATAAGTAAACTGGACATTTTTCACTATTTTCATACGTCTCTTCAACCAATTCCTTTAACTTAACGAAATATTTTTCGTTTTCATCTAAAAAAAAGAACAGTAAAACTTTGGTTTTCATTCTATTTTAAAATATACTTGGCGCTTTACGAAAATCATACGGTGCAGAACGTAATGTTTTATTTCGCACAAAAAATTTGTCCTCTGTTAAACTTTGAACAAGTGACTTCATATAACTTGTTAGTGGATATTTTTCTTCAGACAAATATTCACTAGCCCAAGTATCACCCCAACCAGGGAATTCAACATTACACAACTCTCGGTCTTTCGTTTTTTTTGTCTTCGGATCATAAATTAATCTGTTTTATATAAATAGAAAATATTATATAGTGTTTTATTTTACCCCATATAAGTGAATAATTTTTCTGGGATGAAAAAATAAAGTAACTTAACCCAAAGTGTAAATGGTTTCGTATGTGACTGTTTGTCGGTTGGTTTACATAATGCTTGTGTTCCACCAATTCCATGTATTAATATAAGAGGATATCGAATGTTTTCATCTCTGACTTTTTCCAAAGCTATACCTTTTATATTGTATGAAGATGATGTAAATAACCCATGTAATAAAACTAACTATTATGAATTACAAAAATATAAATTAAATTTACCATTAATTTAATAAATCTAATCATATTAGTCACTTGTTCAATCTCTATTCATAATTGTACACTGCTCTGGATCATATCGACAAAAGTAAAATTTCTTTGTCTATTATTTAAACAATTAAAATCATTTATTATATATCTTAATTTTATTGTCAATCTTTTCAAATTATATCAGACATGATTTGATTATGTAGGCGATTAAATATTCAATGATGAATAGATAAACTCATATCATCATATTACTAACCAATCAAAAATAAATTTGTCAAATCTTAAAATTAAATTAAAAATTGCCTTAAACTGTCATTATTATTAGTATTATTATCATGTGAAATTAATGTAAACATACGGATCATTAGAAAGTTGATCTGACTAACATATCATTAAATAATATGAATTTCTTATTTAGTATCTAATCAGAACAACATATAGGTTACTTGGCTTACTATAAATTCCATACACTGAGTAGTAATAATAGAACATGATTGACAAGAATAAAAATAGTTTTACATTGATTGTTAAATACAGTTTTTTTTTTCTTTTTTCTTAATTGATAATGAGACAGTTTTATCATTAGTTAATGATAACCCTTGAATAAAAAAATAAATACAAATCATTCTCTTATGATTAATATAATTGAGGTGATAGAAAATAAAACGTAGATTTTTCAAATATAATCTTGCTTCTTGGTATACTTATAATATAAGAGAAAGACTTTCAACTGAACATAATTATTTGTACGCTTTTTTATATTCTACTTTAAACTCTTAACTCCGCCTGTAGCTCTTCTAGAGTTAATGCCGGTCCCAAGCCCGGGTAAAGGAGAAGGGTTGGGCATGGGGTTAGCCTCCCCATCCCGTAGAAAACTAACTCGCTAAAAAAACGCTTACCAGAAAAAATAATCCAAACCATTTAAACTGTGCCCTGAGAGTTAGAAGGTCTTCATTTAGAAGAATTATGACGCTTCATGGTGAAAGCCGAGTTCCTTCGGAAGCCACGAGGCCGACGCACCTTCTGACAACCAAAGCAAAAACTTTTTGTCGGTACATGGAACGTTCGAATAATGAGGGAGACCGGGAAGGCCAATCAAATAGCAATGGAAATGAGGAGATACAACTTAGCAGTACTGGGAATCTGCGAAACCCACTGGACCCAAGCTGGACAGAAAAGGCCAAATACGGGAGAGATTCTGCTATACTCCTGTCACGAAGAGGACAATGCTCCACACACTCAGGGAGTCGCTCTTATGCTGTCCAAAGTAGCACGAAATGCACTTGTAGGATGGGAATCTCACGGATCCAGAATCATCAAAGCATCGTTCAAAACAAAGAAGGAGGGGATTTTAATGAATATTATCCAATGTTATGCACCCACAAATGATAGCAACGACGACATTAAAGATCAATTCTACGAGCGGCTGCAGTCAATCATAGAGAAATGCTTAAATAAAGGACCTCACCATTCTAATGGGAGATCTAAATGCCAAAGTCCGAATAGACAACACCGGATATGAAGATATTATGGGACGACATGGACTGGGAGAAAGAAACGAAAATGGAGAAAGATTTGCAAATCTATGTGCATTCAACAGATTGGTCATAGGAGGCACAATATTTCCACACAAGCGTATACACAAGGCTACATGGATCTCACCGGACCACACTACAGAGAACCAAATAGATCATATTTGCATCAACGAAAAATTCCGAAGGACAATGGAAGATGTGAGAACCAGGAGAGGCGCTGACGTAGCTTGAGATCACCACCTAGTTGTGGACAATTTAAAACTGAAGCTAAAAAAGGACTGGACAAGTGGACAAACAGCACTACAAAGGTTCAATACAGCCTTCCTTCGAGATACTGACAAACTCAATGAATTCAAGATTGCTCTCAACAACAGGTTCCAAGCCTTACAAGATCTACTGAAAGAAGAAGAAACTAGTATGGAGGACAACTGGAAAGGCATTAAGGAAGCATTAACTTTAACGTGTCAAGAGGTTCTGGGTCTAAAGAAATACCATCATAAGAAATGGATCTCTACAGAAACACTGGACAAGATCAAAGAAAGGAAGAACAAGAAGGCAGCAATAAACAACAGCCGAACACGAGCAGAGAAAGTCCAAGCACAAGCTGAATACATAGAAGCAAACAAACAAGTGAAGAGGAGCATTAGAGCCGACAAGAAGAAATACGTGGAACTAGCAACGACGGCAGAAAAAGCTGCTAGAGAAGGAAATATGAAACAGCTTTACGATACAACGAAGAAACTAGCAGGGAAATACAGTAAACCAGAGAGGCCGGTCAAATACAAAGAAAGCAAGCCAATCACCGAAATTCAACAACAGCGGAACAGATGGGTAGAATACTTCGAGGAACTCCTGAATAGGCCGGCTCCAATGAATCCACCGGACATAGAAGCGGCACACACAGAACTTCCCATAGACGTCAACCCACCAACGAAGGAAGAAATCAGAATGGCCGTCAGACAAATCAAGAACGAGAAAGCAGCGGGTCCGGACAACATACCAGCTGAAGCACTGAAGTCAGACATCGAAGCAACTACAAACATGCTTTACCTTCTATTCAAAAAGATTTGGGAGGAGGAACAAGTGCCGATGGACTGGAAAGAAGGGCACCTCGTCAAGATTCCAAAGAATGGAGGTCTGAGCAAATGTGAAAACTATAGAGGCATTACACTGCTGTCAATACCAGGGAAGGTCTTCAACAGAGTGTTGATGAACCGGATGGAAGATGCAGTAGACGCCCAACTTCGAGATCAACAAGCTGGATTCCGTAAGGATCGATCGTGCACAGACCGAATTGCAACACTACGGATCATCGTCGAACAATCAGTTGAGTGGAACTCGTCGCTATACATCAACTTCATTGATTATGAAAAGGCATTTGACAGTGTGGATAGGAGGACGTTATGGAAACTTCTTCGACACTACGGAGTTCCTGAGAAGATTGTCAACATTATCCGGAACTCATACGACGGACTACAGTGCAAAGTCGTGCATGGAGGACAGCTGACAGATGCATTCCAAGTAAGGACCGGAGTAAGACAAGGCTGTTTACTCTCTCCCTTTCTCTTTCTTCTGGTGGTCGACTGGATTATGAAGACCTCGACATCTGAAGGAAAACACGGAATACAATGGACAGCTCGGAATCAATTAGACGACTTGGACTTCGCAGATGACCTAGCCCTCCTATCGCATACACACGAACAGATGCAGATGAAGACAGCCAGTGTAGCAGCAGTCTCTGCATCAGTAGGCCTCAGTATACACAAAGGGAAAACCAAGGTCCTCAAATTCAAAGCGGAAAACAACAATCCAATCACTCTTGATGGCGAAACTCTGGAAGATGTAGAATCCTTCACATACCTGGGAAGCATCATCGATGAACAAGGAGGTTCAGATGCAGACGTAAAGGCAAGGATTGGCAAAGCAAGGACAGCATTCCTACAGTTAAAGAACATATGGAACTCAAAACAACTTTCAACCAATATCAAAGTGAGAATCTTCAATACCAATGTCAAGGCAGTTCTACTGTATGGAGCTGAAACTTGGAGAACTACAACAACCACCATCAAGAAGGTACAAGTATTTATAAATAGCTGTCTACGCAAGATACTCAACATCCATTGGCCGGATACCATCAGCAATAGCCTTCTGTGGGAGAGAACAAACCAACTTCCAGCTGAAGAAGAAATTAGGAAAAGACGATGGAAATGGATAGGACATACATTACGCAAATCGTCAAACTGCATCACGAGGCAAGCCCTAACTTGGAATCCTGAAGGGAAGCGAAAAAGAGGAAGGCCAAAGAACACATTACGTCGGATAATAGAAGCAGATATGAAAACGATGAATTACAACTGGACGGAGCTAGAAAGGATTGCCCAGGACAGGGTTGGATGGAGAATGCTGGTGATCGGCCAATGCTCCTTCACGAGGAGTAACAGGCGTAAGTAAGTAACTTAAATCTTACATCTATATTGAAATATTCTATGGTATTTGTTTAGAATATAAACACACTGCTCAGTAAGGAAATTTTTCTTTTGTTTACTAAATTTGTACATTTGTAATTACAGTTTGTTGAATATATAGTAGACTATAACAAAGTTGAAAGATCTTGAATCATTAACTAAGTTACCAAACCTTTATCATTACTTTTTCTCATTCAGCTATCATGTTCAAGTTTTGTAGTAGTTGAAGGTTCAATGATAAAGTCAGAATAATACATGGAAGTAAGATTTGATAAATAGTTGTTTACATGAAGATTATAAAGAAAACAGGAGAAAAATCAGGTGTTAATAACATCTTCTGAAATAATAATGGGGTCATAGCTTATTCTAAGGTTGTGTAAAAGGTAAATAATGACGGTGGGTCTCTATCCGTGACTACTTATTCACTAGCTTGTTTTGAACAGACAACGTTGTCTTCACTAAGAGCGGTCTTTCCAAACTTATGTGTAATCAGTAGTCTTCTTCATTATCTGAAGGCTAAATGAAGATATTCAACAGCTTCAATTCTGAGTACATGTTCAGTTCATCCATCTGGAATTAATAATCTAAATATTTGATAACGTCAAGCAGACTGACTCTAAAGGAGTGCCTTTATCACAAACATTCGCAACATATTAGTTCAATCCTGATCTCTACGTTTTAAAAATAAATATCTCATCTCTTATTTCACTGTGATCCTAACTCACCAAATTTTTAAGTTGTTATTTCCATATCCTTGTTTCCAGTTTCTCCATCAATCTGAGTGTACAAATTTTACAACATTTTCATAGGAACACTTACTGTTATGAACTGTGTTTTGAGTAACTCGCCATGAAACTTCTTGAAAACTACATTTCCTACTGTTTTTCATATTAAAATAAATAATGTGCTTCCTGTGGACCACAAAGTGTCTACGATATATGTTTCTACAATGCTACCTGACAACTTACAAAAACACAGAAACACAAGAAATCTGCTTTACCTCGTACAAAAATATATTTTAGACAAACATTTAATACTTAAGTCCGAATAATTTTCAAACAATAAAACATATTATTCAATTAACTATGTCAATCGGTTTAGATATGTAGTTTGTGACAACAGATGAATTAAAAAATGGTTTGTCAGGATAATACAAAAACCCATCAAGGCTTAACATAGTTCTAGA